TGTAAACCATTTTATTTTTTGTTCACTATACATGAACTTACTTCTTTAAAGAAAGCAGGGAAAATGAGGGGCTCCTGGGTGGCTCAGTGGGTTAAAGCCTCTGCCTTTGGCTCAGGTCATGATCCCAGGGTCCTGGGATCGAGCCCCGCATCAGGCTCTCTGCTCATCGGTGAGCCTGCTCCCCACCCACCTCTCTGCCTGCCTCTCTGCCTACTTGTGATCTTTGTCTACCAAATAAATAAATAAATAAATAATCTAAAAAAAAAAAAAAAGGTATCAGGGAAAATGCAAAAATAGAATCAAAAAGTAAAATCTTACAGTATATATATTTGTACAGGACTTTTTCTATGTAATCTACTTTTAACATAATTGCAATAGTACCTCTTTTATTTACTTATTTCATTAAGAGTCTCCCATGTAATTACGGTGTCATCAGAAACATTATTTGTATTATTGCATTAAATAACTGGACCCTTTTCCCATTGTTAGGCAATTACCACATTAAATAAAAAGGTAATAGCAGAACCACATACGGTGACAGATTTTATTTTTAATATTTTTTATTTATTTATCTGACAGAGAGAGAGATCACAAGTAGGCAAAGAGACAGGCAAAGAGAGGGGGAACCGGGCTCCCTACCAAGCAGAAAGCCCAATGGGGCGCCCTGAGACCATGACCTGAGCTGAAGGCAGAGGCTTACCCCTCTGAGCCACCCAGGCACTCCTATAGATGTTAATTAGACTTACTGTGGTAGTCACTTCCCAATATATACAAATAATGAATCATTACATTGTGAAACTGAATTATGTCAACTTCCTATTCTTTAAAAAAAAAAATACACACACACACACACACACACACACACACACACAGTAGCAGGAAGGACCAGCATTGATATGTAGGATAAAAGCAAACTTAACTGAATGGTAAACAGACTTTTGAATCTATTTTTTTAAAAAGATTTTTTTTTAATCTCTTCAGAGATAGTGAGAGAGAGCATGAGTGGGGAGGATAAGGAGAAGTAGACTCCCACCAAGCAGGAAGCCCAATGCAGGGCTCTATCCCAGGACCCTGAGATCATGACCTGAGCCAAAGGCAGATGCTCAATGGACTGAGCCACTCAGGAGCCCCTTGAATCTATTTTTAAAGCTCTATAACACTCAACTGCAAGTTTTCCAACCTTGTTTCCTAAAGAGAGACCTTACATTTGGAAAAAATATGTCCTTCAAAAAATTTAACAAATTATATATGATAGTAATCAAATTCCCCTTACTCTGGGTTGAGTTTACTACTAAATGGAAATCTAGACTACTGACAGAAAGAATGCACACATATTACTAGAAAATACTTCTCGGGACGCCTTCAGCTCAGGTCATGATGCTCAGGGTCCTGGGATGGAGCCCCACATGGGGCTCTCTGCTCAGCAGGAAGCCTGCTTCTCCCTCTCCCACTCCCCCTGCTTGTGTTCCCTCTCTCATGGTCGCTGTCCCTGTGTCAAATAAATAACTAAAATCTTTAAAAAGAAAATACTTCTTATTATATAACAGGGAGTCAATATAATACAATAGTTAATGAGCACAGACTACAGTGAGACTACCTGTGTTGGAAATCTTGGCTACAACTTACCAGCTGTGTGACTCGGTAAGTTATTAAACCTCCCCATGCCTTAGCACCCTCACCTGTAAAATGGGATAATAATAACCATCTCATGGTTGTTAAGAGAATTCAGTGAGTTCATATTTATAAAGTTTTTGGCATACAGTAAATGCCATGTAAGTGGTTGTTCAGAATTTTTAATTAAGCTAACATTTATTGAGCACTTACTATGTGTTAGGTTAAATGCTATAGGCATGAATTTGTCTCAAATAATCTTCACAGCAGCCCATGATGAAGATACTATGATTGTCCCCATTTAAAGATAGAAAATTGAAGCACAAAAAGATCACATGACTCAGCCAAGGTCAAACACAAATGCTGAAACAAGAATTTGAACTCAAGTCTGACGCATGACCTACAGTTTTAACATAGATTACAAGGTACACTATACATTAGAAGCAGTAGCCTCCAGCTGTGCTTTAACTTAAAAAGAGGGCAGGGAGAGGTGAGACTTTACTGAAATAAATCAGAATATGTATTTCCTGGAATAAAGTAGGGTATTTTAAAAATTAATAAAGAAAGATCACTATAATACAAAAGCATGTATATATAAAGTAACATGATGTCTGATATTTATCCTAAAATAAAACAGCTTCAGGAAAATGGGAGGATAAAAGAAACAAGATCAGACATGCATTGATAATTGTTAAAAGCTTGGTGATAGGAATATGGTGGCTCATTATTTTATTCTCTCTACTTTTGTAAATTCTAAATAGAAGTAGGGTGCACAGATTATAAATACTTTTATTACATAAGCAAACAACTTTCTTATGATTCCTGTATCAAAGCCATAAAAGGATACTTGATATTTATACATTTTACAATGTATAGATAATCTGTGAAAGGATGGTCTCACTTCAAAAAACTGAGGATCTTCTCAACCAAAATAAAAATTTAATAAAAGTATTTAAGCACATACATATAAATAGACATATTAAATTGCTATCTGCATTTCCATCAACTTGTTAAAAATATTTGCTGGAATAATTAACACCTTTTTTTTTCGTGTCTTGCTTCTGCCTGATAATCTCTATGATTATGATACTCTCTGGTCTGTTGCCCAGAAAACGGATGGGTTTGTGACAAATAGGAATCTATAACATGGTCACAAACTGGACAATATGAATAAAAAACAGAAATCTGCTTCAGTAAGAAACACTTACAGGGGCACCTGGGTGGCTCAGTGGGTTAAGTCTCTGCCTTGGGCTCCAGTCATGATGTCAGGGTCCTGGGATCGAGCCCCGATCCCCACATTGGGCTCTCTGCTCAGCAGGGAGCCTGCTTCCCCTCTCTCTCTCTCTGCCTGCCTCTGCCTACTTGTGATCTCTCTCTCTCTCTCTGTCAAATAAATAAAATCTTTAAAAAAAAAACACATAAAATGTCTTGCCTCAAATTGTAGTTGATTTTTAAAAAGTTGTAATTGGGGGGCACCTGGGTGGCTCAGTGGGTTAAGCCTCTGCCTTTGGCTCTGGTCATGATCTCAAGGTCCTGGGATCAAGCCCCACATCGGGCTCTCTGCTAGGCGGGGAGCCTGCTTCCCCCTCACTCTCTGCCTGCCTCTCTGCCTGTGATCTCTCTGTCAAATAAATAAATAAAAATCTTAAAAATAAAATAAAAAAATTAAAAAAAATAAGAAGTTGTAATTTGTTTTTATACTAATATATATCAGTGGGCTTCTGATAAGTATAAATATAATTAATAATTAAAGAACATTCTATATGCTCTAAATTATAGTAAAAAAAGTTAGCTGATACTAAAGGGAAAACTCAACATTTATTAAGCCAGACACTATACTAGGCATTTTCATACACATTACCTCTGTAAACTTAAGAGATTATATACATTTTTATAGAAAGATATTAAAGTTTAGAGAGGTGAAATAACCTGCCCAAGGCCACAGAGTTTATTAGCAACTAAATTGCTATTCAAACTCAACCTCAATTACAAAATCCATTCTTCCTACCACTATATCAGACTATGGGGAGGCAAACACTAAACTAAATCAGATATGGGAGGCAAACATCTAAACTCAAAAAAACTTAAACATTTATGGCCTTTTTTTTTTTTTAAGATTTTATTTATTTATTAGAGAGAGAGCATGAACAGGGGAGGGGCAGAGGGAGAGAGAGAAACAGGCTCCCCACTGAGCAGGGAGTCCCACACAGGCCTCCAACCCAGGACCTTGGGATCATGATAGGAGCCAAAGGCAGATGGAAGGCAGATGTATAACTGACTGAGACACCCAGGCGCCCCTTTATGGCCTTTTTAAAGTGGACCACAAAATGTTTAAGTTACCGGTTACATATTTATTTTACAGTGGCAGCTTGGGTTTAGGTAATGAACTACAGCTAAAACACAAAAAGCATTATGTCTGCTATTGTGTGACTCTTTTCCCCCAAGTCTCTTAATTCCAGCCTCAGGTTACTCATCTCTATAATGGGGAAATTAATATCCTTGCTGTCCAACTACAGGATTACAAAATTCAAAGAGGATATGGAAAACAATTTCAAAAACTACAAAATAGAGGGGCTCCTGGTTGGCTCAGTCAAAAAGCATGTGATTCTTGATCTGGGGGCCCCTTAAATTTGAGCCCCACATTGGGTGTAGAGATTACTAAAAATAAATAAGCTTTTTAAAAAATTATGTTAGAAACCCTACAAAACACAAATAGAGTCTTTTTTTGGGCCTTAAAATGCTGAAAACAACAAAGTGTTTCTTTTTTTTCAATGTAAAGTTTTCTAAAATAATTGTCAGCTATTTAAATTCTACACCTTCTATTAACATTTCCAGAATTTGTCTCAAACTTTTTTTTCTAAGCATATTCCAATCATCTCTTTCTTTGGCTTTCCTTAACCTTAAAAATAATGCAACAGTAACGATACAATGCTTTTGTAATAAATAATTAACATTCTGTTTCGAAATGCTCAACATATAAAAGTTCTAAATTCTGAATTTTCAAACAAAATATGTGTTTGGTGTCACTCTTTTAGTTATACTTATGATCATAATGATTGAGCCTTTTCATATTCAGTTTATGTATAAGAAGATAGAATTAAAATCTGGAATTCCAAAGTAGAACACCCAACACATAATTTTTAGTGGTTTTGTGGGGGGGGGGGGGGTTTCAAGGCTTCTCAAAGCAGATACAATAAGCTAACAAGCACATCAAACACAGCAACAAAATCCACTGAAACATTCAGCTGCTCTAAAAGAAGGATCAGGCTCTTTAGGAGAAAACTACATTGTATGAGTTTGCAAAGTTTCACACTTTCTCATTTAAACTCCATTTCAGAGAAAGCCTTTGCATACTCACACAATATGCTTTAAAATGGCACTTTGCTGACCTTCCAATAGTCCAGCTCTATGAAAATTCTGTGATGGGTGTAACTTCAGAGAATCTGAAAAACACAAAAAGCATTAAGTACTTTTTATGCTGAATGACTTAAGAAAGAAAAAAAGGCAAGGGTGGCATAAATCTCTTACATAACTGCCATGTATTTTTAAGAGCTAAAGCCCATATCTGTAACTATACTCTGCAAAAGAAGATGGAATTGCTTCTACCCTGGTCTCTATGGTAAACTTCGATTTTCATCAAGCGTTTGTTTCATGGAAAATTATCTGATGATTACTGCACAAATGGTGTTAATGTCTTGTCTATTTTTAACACCCAATTGTACCACATTAGCCCTCTTCTAAGAATCATCTCTTGATATCATCTTTTTCTTCTGACACTCAAAACTACAATATCTCCAACTACTTCAGGTATGATGCCTGAAAAACATCCTACAGGATGGTGACTGCCGGCTAAAGTCATCAGAGCAACAGACAATGGCTACAGTTACTAAGTAGGACTCTCTGTACAAACCCAACCGTCAGTCTGTAAAGCCCAGTACCTTCCAGAGTAAACCATCTCACTCTGATTTCGCTTAAACAATTAACATTTACTAATGTGAAGCTGAGGTCCCCCTTTCTGGAGGGGGTAGAATCAGCGGATGGATACATCACACCAAAACTGAAGAAACGCTGGATTTCTCAGTAAGGAGGTTCACAACGGCACATAATTTCTTTTAATATGGTGAAATGAATAGCTAATAACCCATTTACGTCTTTTGCCCCCCCCCCCCCAGGGGTTTAAAAAGTGGTGAAGAGTGTAGTGGGAGCGTTCTGGTTTGATGCCCCTTGCACAGGGAACCTGTTCTAACACATTCTTGTGGAGCCCAGTATAGGAATTTAAACCCGGTAGAGATCAACTCAAGTGTTCATATCGTAGCTCCCGGGAATCCCCTTTAGGCCTTGGCCAAAAGAGTTTAAAAACGGGAATCTCTGTCCAATGCCCCCTCCCTGCAAGGAGTCCTGGAACGGCAACGACAGAGAAAATTCTCAAAGGACAGCGTCAGTGCCTGAGCTGGTACCCCTGGGACAGGAGAGGAATAAAACTAATCCAGAGAGAGCACCCCTATCTTTGTAAAAAGAGAGGAAGATGTAAGTCATTAGAATGCCACAGAGGTGGAAAGAGAGAAAAACAGAAAATTCGGGCCCATTCCAGCAATAAGATGACGAGGAAAGGAAGAACGCCTGGTCGAGGGGGGCCGTCCCAACAAGGGGAGGGAGTGGACTAGGCCGGAGGGAGCGGGGGGTAGAACGACGGCGCACAAACAACCTGCAGGGGGGAGAAAAATGGTGCCCCTGCACCCAGAACCGGCTCCGAGCCAAGCCGCCCGTTTGGGGGCAACTTTGCTAGGGAGGATGGCCCTGGTAGGGGGGCCGCGGCGCACGGATCGCAGCGGCCCCAGCACGGGGCCCAGTCTGGGGGAGGGGGGATCCCTGAGCGGGGGAGGCCGGGACCAGCCGCTCGAGGAGTGTGGCGGGGCCGGACACGCCGAGGGACTCTCAGAGCGACTGGTGCCGCAGAGACCCGGGGCCGTCGGCAATTGGGCTCCGTGCGGCCCGCGACTCCGCGGGGGAGGGGCCGCCACTCCTCCCCTGCCCCTTCCACCATCACCCGACACCATCAGCCTCTCCCCACCCCCCTCAAAACAGGCCCGACCGGCCCGGGCTTGCCCCCAACCCCGACGGGGACCCCTCTGGTTCCCCCGGGCCGGGCCTCCCCGCCCCCACGCCCCAGCCCCCAGCCTGACTCACCTCGCGAGTACAGGGACTTGGGCGATTCCAGGTCTAGGTCCGCGCTGAGCAATGAGATGAAGTCCGAGGGCATCGCAGCTCGACCCAGCCCGGCCCGAGGGCAGCGGGAGGGGGGGGAGCGGCGGTGGCGGCGGCACCTCCTCTCCGGGACCGCGGGCACCGAACCGGGGGCGGCGAGGCGAGGGCGGCTGCTGCAGCCTCCTCCTCGAGGGCAGTGACTTCCACCGGGCCGAGGACCGAGGAAACGGCAGCGAGGCGGAGGGGAAACTCCACGGGGACTAATTCCCGGCGAGCCAGGAGGGGGGTTCAGGGCGGGGAAAGGGAGGGGGGAGAGCCAACGGGTCCGTTTCGTGCTTCTCCTCAGCGAAAACTGACGGTCGCCGCCACCGCCGCTGCCGCTGACAGGAATCTGAGCCCCGCCCCCCGCGAGGCACTGCGCAGGCGCGGAGGGGGGCGCCCCAAAGCCTGGAAGAGCTAGGGCGGCCGCCGGAGGGCGGGGAGACGCGCCAAGGAACAGCATCAACAAGGGCTTCGCTTCCTGCCGCCGCGGCAGCGGCTGCTGTTTCCCAGCCGGGAAAGGGCCCCGCCAGCAGGGAGGGAGGCAGGGAGGTGTCCGCGCCTGGGGCCCCGGGGAGGGAAAGGTATTTGCGCCGACCTAGTGGCGGCGAGCCCGAGGCGGCCGGCCCAGCGCCGAGCTGAGCTCAGGAGGAGACGGACCTGAGGGAGCTGAGGGAGCCGAGGTGACTGCCGGACGGGAAGGACCCCAGAGTTGGGTACGGCCGGCCTGGGCGGACTGGCTTGGGGTCTCGCAGGGGAATGGAGTTTTCGTCTCTTGGACAACCACCAGTCCTTTAGGGTTTCATAGGAGTCTTCAGCTTGAGTTGGCCCAGGGACTGTCAAGCTCATTTCTTAATTAGGAAATGACAGACCATATCTAAAAACCTCGAGTTATTGGTTGTTTTTAATTAAAGTACCTTCTTCGTCCTTTACCCTCCCTATTTTTGTCTCCCCTCCCCCATCCTTTAGAGGCTGAAAATTCGAAACAAAACAAAACATAAAACCAACTTTCTGATTGTGCTGGGTGGCCGGGTTTATTCGGAGTAGGAGATAAAAGTCTATTTAAAAATTGGATCCTATGAATCCACCTCGCTGTTCTAAAGGAAAAAGGAAAGAAGCACAGCTAAACACCACTCTTCCAAAAACCCTTTTACTTTTTTACCTTTGGATTAGGCGAGGATGGAGGAAAACACATTTAATTGAGTTTCTTCTATTATGTTCATGGGGCCAAAAGTTTCCGTTGCAAAAACTGAAAATCCTCACCTACACCGCAGACCGTTTCCTGACTCTAATAGACTTCTGAGAAATTTTTAATCAAGTTATTAAAATATCAATTGGAGTGCAGAGTATGCATCTTGGGAAATAATTTTAATCTTGTGTGGAATACTGATGCCAGCAATCTCTGGGCAACGTTTTTAAGCTATTAGATTTGGGGTGCCTGGGTGGCTCAGTCGCTAAGCGTCTGTCTTCGGCTCAGGTCATGATCTAAGTGTCCTGGGATTGAGCCCGGAATCTGACTCCCTGCTAGGCAGGAAGCCTGCTTCTCCCTCTCCCATTCCCCCTGCTTGTGTTCCTGCTCCCACTATCTTTCTCTCTGTCAAATAAATAAATAAAATATTTAAAATAAAAAAGCTATTAGATATGGTTTTAGTTTTGTTACTTTATCTACACAGTTACAAATCATAAAAACTTACTCTTGTGTATTTCATATATATATATTATATAGATATATATATATAAAACTGGTGTATATATACAAGTTATAAGTATATATATACAAGTATATATAATCCAAGTATATATACAAGTGTATACACACACACACACGCATATATATACAAGTTATATCTATCTATATATGATGTATCTATCTATACAATTTATAGAGCCTTTTCCCCAGGAAGCTGGGCCATTCATCTGGACTTGGAGTCCTGGAGATGGGGAAGAAACTCTCAGTGAAGGAGGTCCCAGTGCAGGTGTCTCTGGGGTGGGGCTCTTTGTAAAGCTTTACCTGCAGACCTAGAATTTAAACTTGTGTCATCAGAGTCTCCCTGTCTTTCCATCTGAACATCGGATTCAGGTTGCCCAATTATCTTCACTGCACTCTGTGCAGTAATGAATCAACCCTGTCCTCTTCCTGTCAGAGGTAAGAGAGCTTTTCAGAGCCATCCCAAGATGGCAAAGCAGAACAGGAAACTACTCTCAAATCTCCATTGCCACTATATGCTGTTGCAACAAGTCCCAAGGGAAGTCCCTTCATAACTCGTAAGAGCCTAATTCATTTGAGAGGAAGATTCAGTCAAATTGCCCAACAGGCCAAGGCCTTGGCCAAAGCTTTTGAATTGGAGCAAACACCTGATGGAGACCCCCCGACACACACACACACACACACACCCTCCAGCCATTAGTCAATACAAAATGTGAGGAGAGGAAATTGCAATTTACCAGGCAGAACCCCAATACTAAAAAGTTGGGTGCATCACTCTGATATATTCCTTTTCCCCAGACCTATGTAATCATTCAACAAACTTAGGGTATAGGAAATCCCCAGTGCTGTTCTGACCCTAATTAACAAGTCAAGAATTGGCAAGGCCTCTTCCTTCCCCTTTCCCTCAACACTTCTCTGCCCTTTTGTGCCTTCCCCACCACCCCCCCTCCACGAGTGCTTTGTTGTTTATGTTAATCAGATTTCCCCTGGCTTGGTTAAAACCCTGTAAATGGGGGGGGGGGGGGCGGCAAGTGTGACTTGACCCAGACTGAATTCTCCTAGATGGATTCTTTAGGCTCAGTCCTCAGCCCATCAGGCCTTGCATCAATCATTGATTATATCTCAATGGAATTTGAAAATTCAGTGTTCCTCTCATTTCCTTGTACAGAAATACATTTTTTGAAAAACTGTTTAGATGGGTAGTTTTCATGGCCATGCTTTGCAACAGCATGGAGACCTAGATTTCATGTTATCCTTAAAATTTCAGTGACTAAAAACACAAATTCATTAGTAAACATGTGTGCTCTGCTCTAATCACAAAATATAAGACCGGCCTGATATTCAATTACTAAAAATAACTATCCGATCAGTTAATTACATGCTACCCCCATTTCCAAGGATATTCCCTCTGTACTCATTAATGTCTCTTTACTTCTCCTTCTATTCAATCTTTGAAAGAATCTCATGTTATATTTCAAAAACCACCCATTCCTCAAATATACACCTTCATAAAACTTTGTGCACAATAAAAAGTAAAGCTTTAAGCGTGTAAAATTTGTAAATTTCCTCTCATTGAAAATTACAATAGGATTATGGAACAAAACATAAAGCAGATTTAGTAGTTTGTAGAATTCCTTTATATTGCTTCCCAGTCATCATATCACATTCCCAAGTTACTTGATTAAAATTTCACAAGAACCCAGATTCAACTACAAGGTTGTATAGATTATGCAATAGAGTGGCAGTTTTTATACTTGGTGGTGTGTTCTTTAACCCCTCCTGGACCTGTTTAGGCACTTAGTGAATTGTGTTGCTGGATCTACTCTAAATGAAAGAGGTTCAAATATCAACCACTGAAAAGGAATTAAATAAACTCATACAGAACAGAGGAATGCGTTGTCACAAGATAATCTTTGTCTTGTAATACAATTAAGGCTGTTAAAATAATTTTGGTCACATGGATATTGTAAAGAAACTGCTAAACAAACACAAGGTCTGAAAGGAAAATTTCCAGAGCAGTTCAAGTCATGGACAAGAAAAAATTTTAGACCAAAAATGATCTCTGCTCCATCTTGGGAGCACTCCTTAATAATAATGGAGAATTGGTGGTGGTGGGACATAGCAATGAGTGCATTTGTGCTGAAACTGTAAACAAAGTTTTATTTGATTATGATTATGTGTCAATTTTCACCCTTAGAACATGTTCTAGCAAGTATTTCTCTTTTTAAAAATATTTTATTTGTGGGGCACCTGGGTGGCTCAGTGGGTTAAAGCCTCTGCCTTCGGCTCAGGTTATGATCTCAGGGTCCTGGGATCAAGCCCTGCATGGGGCTCTCTGCTCAGCAGGGAGCCTGCTTCCTCCCTCTCTCTGCCTGCCTCTCTGCCTACCTGCGATCTCTATCTGTCAAATAAATAAATAAAATCTTAAAAAAATAAAAATAAAAATATTTTATTTGTTTATTTGACAGAGAGAGATACAGTGAGAGAGGGAACACAAGCGGGGGGAGTGGGAGAGGGAGAAGCAGGCTTTCCGCGGAGCAGGGAGCCCTACACGGGGCTCCATTCCAGGACCCTGGGATCATGAGCTGGGCCCAAGGCAGACTCTTAACGCTAAGCCACCCAGGTGCCCCTCTAGCAAATATTTCTGAAGGCGAAATTAGTTTTGATAGTTTTGCCATTGGATTTAGAACATTCTCACTCCTTACATCTTTCGCTGCCCAAATCTGGTAATCAGGCATCTAATTCACTTTGATGAAGTAATTCTGTACTTTATGACAGGGTCGGAGTCAGAGTTTTCATCCAAAGTCTTAGACCAGTTCAGTCTCTTAAGACCTAGAATAGTTGCAAGTCCTGAGCTACAGAGCCATCAGCTTGAATTGGGAGAACTTGGTGAACAGTGGAGAAAGGAGAGAAATTTTAATGGGAAATTAGAAACCCCTGACCCCATTAAACCAAGAAAGGAAGGAGAATGTCTCTAGGTCATCCCAACAGTAGTCAGGTTGGACTCATGTAAACTGCATTCAAGTCCTTATTCATACTGGCTTTGACACCATCATGTTTGCTAAGATGCTCTTTCCACATCTAATCATAACATGAATAATCTAGTAGCCTCACCTCAGCTGTGATATTAGCTTGACCAAGAGTATGAGTTAGAAATGGTTTTACAGAGCTACCTGTGTGGCTCAGTTGGTTGAGCGTCCAGTCTGACACTTGGTTTTGGCTCAGGTTGTGATCTTGGGGTCATGGGATCAAGCCCTATATCAGCTCAGCAGGGAGTATGCTTGAGGTTCTCTCCATCCCTCTCCCTCTGTTCCTTACCCCATGCTCTCTCTAAAATAAAGAAATAAAATCTTTAAAAAATTTTTATTTATTTTAGAGAGAGAGAGAGACAGAAATAGTGAGAGCACCAGTGGTGAGGAGAGGGAGAAGCAGGCTCCCCACTGAGCAGGAAGCCCGATGCAGGAGTCCATCCCAGGATCCCGGGATCATGACCTGAGCTGAAGGTAGATGCTGAACCAGCTGAGCCACCCAGGCACCCCTAAATAAATCTTTTTTTTTTAATTGTTTTACAGTTTCCTATTA